TGTATTTAGTGTGTGGCAAACAGAAAATATTTAAACCAACGAAAAACAAAAACAAGACATTTAAATAATTTTGTTTAAATCAGATTCTTTGGAAATCAATATGAAAGGCGAGCCCTGCGTTTTACGTGTAAATGCGACAGTTTTTAATCCATACAAACTGGTATCCTTTTTCTTTTTTTGCTATAGTTTTGCATTTATTAAGTAGTGTCTTGTTTCGAGTCGTTAGATGTTCATTAACGAATATAGCAGACGGTTCGCCTTCCATACCAATTGAATTTGTAGAATTTAGGTCACGCATTTTTTTCAAAGCCGATATATAATTGTCTTTGGTCGCTCGCTTTCTAAAACGCACTACAATTGCCCTTGGTCTGCCGGTGACTTGTCTCTTGGCCTGGACTCGGTGTGCAAATTCTATTTCGTCTGGTTGCAGCTGAAGACCTGCAAGTTTTATTGCGACGTTGGTTAGAGATTCGTCTTTCATTTCGGGAACTCCAACAATCTCAACATTCTGAAGTCTTGACCACTGTTCTTGCTTCATAGACGTCTCTTCCAGCGCTGCAAGTCTGCCCTCCAGAGTCTTGACGGTTAATTTAAGATTTTTATTTTCGTTCTGCACTGTCTTCATCATAGCGCTTTGACTTTCAAGCTTCCTAATTATTTCATCATGCTTGTCGCTAAGTAATTGGACCGATTTCTCCAACTCTGCAAGTTTGATCGATAATGGTTCTAATGCGGCCTCTACAGCTGTTTTTATTTGATGAGGTAACTGGTTACGAACCTTGCTAATATCATCACTCAGCTTTGCCAAATCTGAAGCATCGAAACCCACAGTAGTATTATCTGAAGTTGCCTGCGTAGTTGGTTGCGGAGTACTGTCGCGCTTGACTGGAGTGTCCTGTCGTTCCGGGTCCTGTCTCCTCCTGCCCTTGTTAGAACATTGAGGACAGGACCATGCTGCGCCGGGATCAGACTCGGTTCCAACACACGACACATGGTACTGCAGGGAGCAGTAAGGCTGGGTGCATTTTAATGAGTCTTTTGGTAACAGTTTTTTTAGACAAAGACCGCACTTGGACGACATTGTAGATAGCACTCAACACTGTGTTAAAACTCAACAACTTTTATGTACGGTAATTATACTTGTTAAATATGTAATTTAAACTGATTCTAGTTAAATATAAAGCCGGAAAAACAATTAAAATATGCAAAATTATTAGGAGCAGATACGAACCGGGCAACTACCCACTTTTATTTTTTTACCTTACAGTTTGTGTAGAATGACGTGCTACCTCACTTTTTATTCATATTTCGAAGAATTGTTTCTAATGTTTATATTTGATTGGCTACTTTTTCTAATTGTTTTTTATATTGTTACTATTTTTGATAAATAGGCAATACCCTCCAATACGAGGGAGTCCAGCAGTGGACAAAGGTAAAGGTATTGATAAATTATTATTATATTTTTATACAATCTGTAATTTGACATGTAACAATGGTTATTAATAAAGAATCTGTATCTGTAATAAAAGTTGTTCAGTTTAGTGAGTAGAACCCGCCATATAGGGTGAAATTTGACTACTGACCGGGTATTTCCTTGAGCGCAAGTCTTGCGAACAGCAGGTCGATCTCGATGCCGTCGAAGTTCATTTTGATCACCGGCACGAACGCATCTTCCACCGCCCGTAGGTCCTTCACCTGGAAACCATTTAACACACATCGTATTCCTGCCCTTATCCCAATTACTTGGGGTCGGCCGCAACACGTTTTGTATGACAAGTGAAAATAAGAAATAAAAAAAATGTCATACATCGATCGGGAATCGAACCCGGGCCGCATGGGTAAACGCCCCACCGCTCTGCCACTGAGCTATCGATGCACCGGTTGATGAATGCCAAATTTTCTATCTCTAGATGCTCGTCTCCAAGCGACGATACAGCTTCAGATGTATGACATTTTTTCTATTTCTTATTTTCACTTGTGAGAATAATATAGCACTGTGAGTGCATTAAAATCCCACGTTTTGTATGATCACAAATCGTTCGCCCGAGCACGAGCATGCGTTGCCTCGGGTGAGCCACGTAATTTTTTGGTTTATCTGATCTAGACTAAGCGGAAATTATAATGTTAACATCAAAAATATATTTACCTGTGGCTGTGTCTTCAATAATTCGTAGAAGGACGCGAAGTAGTCACTTCTGTCTATGTGGCGCGGCGCGACGCACAACGCGTCGATATCGGCGCCTCTGTGGTGGACCTGCGTTTGAAATGACATATTTAGTGTAGTGGTTTATCCTACTAATCCTACTAATATTATAAAGGCGGATGTTTGTGTGTGTGTTTGTTACGACATCACGCTAAAACGGCTGGTTAGATTGACATGAAATTTTGCACAAATATAGAATAACACATAGGCTACTTTTTACCACGGGAAAATGTCTTATTCCTACGGGATCACGCATATTCCAATTTTTTGCAAAGGTGGCGTGACTGAGCCGATTCGCGTTTTAAACGTTTTCGCCGAAAACTAACAGCGACATCTCTTGGCGAGTAATGCTTTCTTCCCGCGGAATAATAGGTTGCAGCGGGTGAAACCGCTGACGGGCAGCTAGTTTACCATAAATGTAAATAAGAAATTGAAAAAATGACATGCATCGGACCAGGGATCCAACCCGGGCGCATGGGTCAACGCCCCAACACCCTGCCACTGAGCTATCGATGCATGCCAAATTTCAATCTCTTGATGCTCGTCCCCAAGCGACGTTCTAGCTACATCTGTAGAAAGTATTTACAACTTTATTATTCCACGGTTAGTCCACATTACAGTTGGAATTGAAACCATATGATGAAGCTATTGCTTACAACTATTGGGATTTCAAAACAAGTTACAAAATTATACTAGTATATCTCTTAATGTGCAGAGGCGACGTGGACGGCCCCGAAAAAAGGGCATATCTAAAAGACTGGCGGAACCTGGCACTAGACCGAGAGGCGTGGAAAAAGCGGACAGGCCTTTGCCCTGCAGTGGGACAGCACAGGCTCATAATAATAATAAACAATAATAAAAATCTCTTAACAGACATACATACCCCAAGCCTATACGATCCAAAGGTGTAGATGTTGCCACCGACTGTTTCGGCCACACTCTGCGGCATATTTTTCCTCATTGACTCGTCTCTTATCCACTGCCTGACGAGCCTGTGTAGCTGCCCCAGCACCTCCATTCTGTGATGCATTTCGCCTTCAGACTCGAATACGCCGAACGGTACCAATGAGTCTTTCAATTCATTTGTCTTTTCTATGTCTATGGGTTTTGGTCCTGAAAAGAATAACACACATATAACGCGTTTATATCCCTCGCGGGGTAGGCAGAGCGTAAACGGCCATATACAACATGTCTAACAAAAGTATGGGAGTCATTCAGAAGATTGTTTATCACCATACATATCAACTCTCAAATCTTATAGTCGCTTCTTACGCCACCCACGGGAAAGATATGGGGTGATGCTATTCTAAGCCGACACCACAAGGGTTATATTTTTTATAGTCTAGATCAAAGATGTGTAGCAAGCTAAAGTGGCCATGTCCAGCAGTGGACTCTTGCAGCTGTTAAATTTAAATGTGTTTATTTTCAAGACATTTTTATGGCCAGAGTTTCCCTTCAAGTAATAGAATACTTGGAATCCTTCGCTCTTCCAACATGGGTTAACTAATAATTACCTTAAATTTAGGTCAAAGTTAATACGTAAAGTAGAGAAAAACATGCTTCACTACGTTTGTGTGTGTGTGTGTGTATGTTAAGGTTAATGTTATACCAACCTGCCATAGAAATGGCGGACGTCATGCCCAGCGTTTTCAAATTCTGCTGGTTCTGGTGTTCATTTTGTTTCACCTGCTGCTGGTTGTTGGTGTGGGAATACTGGGACGCGGGCCACATGTTGCCGTCCTTGTCTTGCACTTGCTCTTATAATTAACTTAGACTAAACTCGCTGGTGGGCTGACATTTGTATAAATGCTCTCCTTGTTTACGTTGCTCAAGATCTGCCACTTGTTCTCTGAAACAAAGATTTGGTAAATATTACGGTTTTATTCTGAACTATTTACTTACACTTTTCGTTGTCGGTCTTGAAGCTAAGATTGCGTAGCTTTGGGGCACTTATTGACTATGTTTTGCATAAATGAGATGATAAGTAATGCTGCCATGATTTATAAATTACCAATATCTATGATGATTGACCGAAGGTCAGGAATATTTCATAGAAAACAGATTAATCTTACTTTTAATACATTGATAAGTTTATTTTATACTAGCGGTCCACCCTGCGGTTGCAGCAATGTAGACCGCGATGGTCATTTCATTTGAAATGTGTTGCTATGATGACATGATCAAAACTGTGATCTAAATAAATAAGTTTGAAATATATTGGAATTATCTAAAATGATACTACGGCTCTAAATGCTTCTATTAGACTCTTTATAACATTCTTTTCTGTTCTGTAACACCCAGTATAATGGTTTTAGTACTGCCCGTCCATGATAGATGTGTTGATGGAAAGAACAGAAACTGGATGCAGAGAGTAAGAAAACTGATGAATCCTTTGGGGAATCCTACGCCACAAATTAGAGAAACTGCGCGCGTGGAGCCTTTACAGATTGCTAATAGCGACGATTTTGACGCCTACTGACTTTAACTGGAATCTCAGAGGAACTCTCAAGGTAACAATAGTCCGACAAGTTCGCGCGACCTTCCTAGTGACAGACGCTGGGGCAGGGCGTATTTACCATAGGGGCAAGTGGGGCACGTGCCCCAGGGCGCAAGGCCTGTGGGGGCGGTGCTAGCCGCCCTTTGTGTTTGCAAAGGAACCCAACACAACTCTGGCGCCCTTCTGGAATCATCTGCTTTGAATACCAAATTTTAAAACACTTCTCGTGTTAGGTAAACAATTTTGAAACTTCCAAAATTTCACCGCAGGCAGTATTTGAACCTGCGACCTTCGGCATCAACCGCGGTAGCCCAGTTGGTTAGGGCGTCGGCAGTACTGATGCCAAAAGTCGCAGGTTGAAAACCTGCCTGCGGTGAAATTCTGGAAGTTTTCCAAAAATCATCTGCTTTATTTATTTATTTTTAACGTGGAAATGTCCCTTCAGGACCAAAATGTTGAATTCCTAAAATGTTGAATTCTCAAAATGTTGAATTCCCAAAATGTTGAACTTAGTTTCCTATAAAGTTGAATTCCTAAAATGTTGAACTTTTCAAAATGTTGAACGAAATTTTTCTAAGTGTCGAATAGTCTTCATACAGTTTTTACTATAGGTTTTCCAAAATGTTGAATGTAATTTTTCTATGTCCGAAATGGTCTTGATACTGTTTTACTATAGGATTTCCCAAAATGTTGAATGTGTGATTTTCTAAGTCTTTGACTCCCATGACGAGCTCTAAATATTATAACAGCTGTCCAACTTGCTCTTTTATCTGCAACTATGCATGCTGGACTCCTACTTTCTTTGATGAAGTGTAGGTCTTGGCAAGACTCTACATTTTATGTGACAGCTGTCAAACTTGTTACTCATTTATCTCGTATTCTATGCATCCTGGACTCCTAGTTTCTTTGAAGTAGGTTCTTGGAAGACCTACATTTTATGTGACAGCAGTCAAACTTACTCATTTATCTCGTAAACTATGCATCCTGGACTCCTAGTTTCTTTGAAGATGTTGTAAGTATTGCCAAGACCTACAACTTCTTCAAAGAAACTAGGAGTCTAGCAGGTAAAGTTTTCGAGATAAATGAGTAACAAGTTTGACTGCTGTCACATAAAATGTTGGTCTTGCTAATACCTACAACTTCTTCAAAGAAACTAGGAGTCCAGGATGCATATTTTCCGAGATAAATGAGTAACAAGTTTGACAGCTGTCACATAAAATGTTGGTCTTGCCAATACCTACAACTTCTTCAAAGAAACTAGGAGTCCATAATGCATAGTTTACGAGATAAATGAGTAACAAGTTTGACAGCTGTCACATAGAATGTTGGTCTTGCTAATACCTACAACTTCTTCAAAGAAACTAGGAGTCCAGGATGCATATTTTCCGAGATAAATGAGTAACAAGTTTGACAGCTGTCACATAAAATGTTGGTCTTGCCAATACCTACAACTTCTTCAAAGAAACTAGGAGTCCAGGATGCATATTTTCCGAGATAAATGAGTAACAAGTTTGACAGCTGTCACATAAAATGTTGGTCTTGCCAATACCTACAACTTCTTCAAAGAAACTAGGAGTCCAGGATGCATATTTTCCGAGATAAATGAGTAACAAGTTTGACAGCTGTCACATAAAATGTTGGTCTTGCCAATACCTACAACTTCTTCAAAGAAACTAGGAGTCCAGGATGCATAGTTTACGAGATAAATGAGTAACAAGTTTGACAGCTGTCACATAAAATGTAGGTCACTAAACATGAGTGTCAAATACTTATACAAAAATACACTTTCGACATTTTGGGAAATCCTATATTAGAAACAGTATGAAGACCATTTAGGACTGAAAAATTTTGTTCAACATTTTGGGAAAACCTATAGTAGAAACAGTATCAAGACCACTTGGGACTTAGAAAATTTTTTTTTCAACATTATGAGAATTCAACATTATGAGAATTCAACATTTTGGGAATTCGCAAAATGTTGAATTTTTGCAACATTTTAGGAATTCAACATTTTGAGAATTCAACATTTTAGGAATTCAACATTTTGGTCCTAAAGGGAAATGTCGAGCTCGCTTCTCTCGCAATACGAGTACTAGCGCCCGCCATTTGACCTGTCAGTACTGCTTGCATCTCCCCTAGCAATTTTAATATAAAATGTTAAGCTTGCCTCGCTCGCAAACGTAATCGCGTACCACCCTTCCGTTGGACCTCCCATACAAGTGAAAGGGGGGCAAAAAAATTTTGTTTTTCTGTAATATTCAGTATTGGTCTTTTAAAACTAAGGGGAGATTTCTTTAAAACAAAGTCAAAAAAACCGGCCAAGAGCGTGTCAGACACGCCCACAAATAGGGTTTCGTAGTCAACGTTTAAATATCAGGTTTTTCAGCATTACAAACTTAATTTTGTTGCTGGTTTGTTAGCAGCAGTATGATGACCAACCGCAAATAGAAAAACTCAATTTTTCCTGAAACCTTTAAGGGTACGATATCCGTTATAGTTTTCATTGTAACTTCAGATTGTAAGCTATATTCCATATTTATTTCAAATTTTTAGCGTTTATACTTTAGAAGTTACAGCTGGAACAAATTATGGGTCAAAAACGCCCTTTTTAAAAGCAAATATCTCGTGACAGAAACATTTTAGAGAATTTGTTTCAAAGAAACCTCACCTTAATTTTAAACGACCTATTCAACGATACCCTACTCAATATTACAGAAGAAATAAAAATTTTTTGCCCCCCTTTCACTTGTATGGGAGGGGGTCAAAAAAACATAAAAAATATTTTTTTCTTAACATTTCTATATTTGGGTCAACACGATCTATCTTCTCACCAAATTTCATGTCGATAGTTCTAAAACTGACGAAGATATGAGGGC